CCCTTATAGAAATATAATACTGAAAATTACTAAAAATTTACAGTGATAAAAATATTAATAGCATTTCAGTGATTATTTGGCCAATGCTTAATTATTAATACTGGCTTTTAATACTGATTCAAAATACTGCAGCCTCAACTTAATACTGGAAAGTAGTGATTAATTATTTATTTTGAGTACTAAAAATACTGTTGTGCAGTATTTGCAATACTTATTAGTGTTTTAACGTTGAACAACAGTGCTTTTAATACTTAAAATAAGTAATTAACCACTACTTTCCACTATTAAATCTGTAAAAAAGTAATAAAATATATTAAAAGCATTATATTTGGCAAGTTTTACATTTTAACACTTTTTTACCTTAATTATAAAATTTTGTGTCATGAAAAAGAGAAAAAAGGAAAAATCATAAATGAATTTTATATTTATTTTTAATTCTTGCGTACACACACATTTATACATATACAGTTATAAGGTCACTTGTTGCTTTTTTAACTTTGTTGCTTCATTATTCAATTTACTTTTCATAGCAGTTTTAATTTTAGCAATTTTTTCTTTGTCATCTTTGTTTATTTTAAATTCTTGCCTGACATAATCTAAAATACATATTTGATATTTAATATTATGATATATTTGATATATGTATAATATAATGATATTTAATATTTGTCTAAAACACATATTTACATGCAGAATATGTATATACGTCAAATTAGAACATAAAAACATTGTTAATTCAAAACATTGCAAATTACCGATGAAGGCATCTTTGATAACAGGGTCCAATTGTTTTTTTGACGATGCTATAGTTGTATTCGATGATATTGTCTTTTTTTGGAAGTTACTCACTTCACCTGTCATAGTACATGTCCCCATCTCTTCCGGGCTAAAAACAATTCCCATTAGAGCAGTTGTAAAAGATGAAAGTCCCTTAGATCTGTCAATCCTGGAAACCTTTCTTTTATCAACCGTTCGATCACCAATATTCAGTTCATTCTGAAAGTTTGAAACATTAACAGATTATAAGATATGAATTGTATTATTAAGTAAAACGATATTATTTATTTAATATTTAATTAATTTAAAAAATGATACGTGGAAAAAATGTTATATATATATGGACATATTTTATACATGTATAATCTTACATAATTGTATATAAAATACGTCAATTTTATATATAATTTTAAATAATTATATATAATTATATATGAAACATTTTTTTCGAGTATATATATATGAAAAAATTTATATTTAATTCTTACTACAGTAGCGTTGTTATTTGTCTGATTTTCTTGTTTCAAGGAGTATATTTTATTTTCTGTTGTTACTATGTCACTATTTTGTTGTATCATCTCCTACAAAAAAGTATATATATATATTATGTATGTATATATATATATATATAATGCTTAATTAATTTAATAATTATTATTTAAGATGTTTCAAATTTGGATTATATGTTGTATGTTAAAGTACACAATTGAAAAGAACGGTCCATAGTAATCTTCACAAATTAGCTATCTCTAAACTTTTTGTTAATCTTTTATAATACTATCATTAAAATACGAAAGTAACTATACAGCAGTATTTATGATATCCACTATGTTTGTTGTT